GGACAGTTGTTCTTCCCGAGGTCCTCGCACCGCACCGCGCCTTCCGAGGTGCGCCTCGCCTTTGCAGTGCTGCAGCGTCCTTCCACGGCGGCTCGGCTCGGCACGCACACGCACCGGCCAGCTCTATGCCTAATTCGCACAGCCTGGCTCAGCGGGCCCTGCACGGTCCCCGCCGCGGACGACGGGCCCGGCCGGCGGCGGGAACTAACGCGGCTAACCCGCCGCGACGGCCGCGGGGCCCGGGGGCAGGGGGGCCTGGGGGCAGGGGGGGCCTCGCCGAAACAAAGAGATGAAGAGATGAGGCCAGGGAGTGGATGGGTCAAGCGTAAGCACGCGTATGACACGCGTAAGTGAGTCGTGCCTAGCCTTCGCCGTCGTGGGCCGCCTTGGGCCTCCTTCATTTGTAGCGCGAAGGCCCCTTCACACTCACACTCACACACACAGTGCAACGTGCGCACACACACACACACACTGTTGCGCTTTGGTGGCCGTGGAAGAGGCGATTGGATGGCAGATGGCAGTGCTTCCCAAACTCCTGGCTGGGCCGAGCTGGACACTGCGCTCTGCTCGCTTTACTCCGTGCCCCTCCCCCCCCCTTTTAAGGCGCTCCATTGATAGAGCCGGCGCGTGCCGCGGCGGTCACTGCCGTCTGATTCCGGAGGACCGTGTTGCGTCGCGCTCCGTCTCCCTCAACTCCCATGAGTGCGAGAGAGACAGGGCGACCAAAACAATCCCCGGATCCGGGCGGCAGAATGACAACAGGCCGATAGCCCTGTAAGCTGCAAGGGCCACAGTTGCCCTTCCGCAATGCCGCCCTGGGGGTGCGCGGCGCGACGCGGCGACTTCAACCGTTTGGAATTCGATCCGTGCCTTCATGTTTGCCATTTGTGAGTGAGGCACTACTGGCAATAAGAACCTTCAGAATAACGCTTTGCTGCTTCCTTTTCTGTCTGCACCGGAATGGTGGAACGGCGTTCGAATGCCGAGCGGCCGTGTTTCGCCGCTCTCTCTCCGTCGCACTCGCGGGGCTCTCCATGAGGGTGCGAGAGAGACAGAGCGACGATCGCGGGGCGCGCAGAGTGAGCGTGTCCTTGAGACTGGCCAAGGCAAGGCCCAAGGCCCGCACTGCACTGGACACCTGGCTGGGCAGCGGCAGCGTCCTTGGTCCCTTGGTCCGCGCTGGCCGCCGGCACGCCGCTGTCGTGTAGCACGTTCTTGTTGTCGGTGGGCGCGGCACGGCGACGAGGGAAAAGCCCTGCAGGTGCAGCCGAGAGTTGCCCAAATCCATCCGTCACGGCCGCGCCGCGCTGCGCTGCCGTCTGCCTGCTGATACACTAACACCACGATGCAGTCGCACTGCCTCCGAATCCTCGGGCCGAATGAAGCGTTGGAAATGATGATCGCGCCGCGCGATTAATCAAAGCAATTGGCTTATTAGAACGGCGGGAAGGCAGAGCGGCCGCGTGCCGCACCGCAACGAAAACAAAACAAAAACAACAAGAACAAGGCACGCAGCGAACGGCGCGGCGGCGTGACTGGCGCATTCGCATTTCGCGTTTGTTGTTAGTTTGTTCTCCCAGACAAGCTGGGTCAGCCTGAGCGCGCGGCCCGCCCGGCCCGCTCAGCCCCAATCCGCGGCATCCAAGGATTCGTGGATTATTCGGCCGTAATTGGCAGCCCAGGCCGAGTCCCGATCCGAACGCGGCGCCGTTCGTCGCTCTGTCTCGCTCGCACTCGCGGGCCGTCGCGAGGGCGAGGGCGGCCGCGAGGAGGGAGTGAGACAGACTCGGACAGACAGCGACGTGAACACACTCCTGGAAGGGCGAATTGGCCGTCGGCATGCCGCGCTAGGCCGCGCTAGGTCGCAAAGGCCGCTAGGCAGGCAGGGCCTGGCAGGGCGTGCTGCCGTTGCTCCAGACCCCAAACGCCACGCCGTGCGCGCCGCCCCTGTCTCTGTCTCCGACCTGACGACGCCATTGTTGTTGTTGTTGCTGATGCCGAGGAGCGCAGATTACGATTGGAAGAATATCTGATAAGCGCGCGGCGGTGTCGACACTCGTAACGGAGCGGCTGTCGACGGCGACCTGCCGGGTGAATGGATCAATGAATGGGCCAATATGAGTGGCGGCCTTCCCTTCTCTCCCCCCCTTCCCCTCCCCCTTCCCCTTCCCCTCCCCCTCCCCCCTCCCCGCGAACCACGCCCTCCGCGGTCACGAGGAGTCGCCTCGATATCTGAGCCATCAGATTCACTCCGCGCGCTGCCCGAAAAAGGGTGGACTGCCGAAGGCCGCGCGCACAGTGGGCCAGAAGACCGGTGCAGGCCGTCGAAATCCCGGACGCGTTTTCAGCTCCTGAGTCGACGAAAGGGACTCGAACCGAACGTGTGACCCCACCAATAGATTGCTCTTCGGACGAGGAATCCATTGGTGGGGTCACACGTGCGGTTCGAGTCCTGTTTAACGACTCTGGAGCTCAAAACGCGTCCGGGATTTTGACCGCCTCCACCGGTCTTCTGGCCCACTGTGCGCAGGGAAGAAGTTCCCCCATGGCTTAGTTACAGCGAGAGGAGCGGGACGGAGAGAGGCACGCTTGAATCCGAGCGCAGCAACCACTACCGAGTGCACGAGTGAGCCACAGCTTCCAAAATGGGTGACATGACTGTGTGATGGCTCGACGGGCGCGACGCTTGCACTGGCCCGAAGCAGACTGTGTCCAGTGCGCGCGTTACTTCGCTCCCCGCTTCTCGGCGCTGCCAGGCGCTGCATGTCCGTCCGGCCAGCGCCTCGCGCCTAGCCTCGCGCCAAGCCTCGCGCCAAGCCTCGCGCCAAGCCTCGCGCCAAGCCTCGCGCCAAGCCTCGCGCCAAGCCTCGCGCCAAGCTCGCCAAGCTCGCGCCAAGCCTGCGCCAAGCCTCGCGCCAAGCCTCGCGCCAAGCCTCGCGCCAAGCCTCGCGCCAAGCCTCGCGCCAAGCCTCGCGCCAAGCCTCGCGCCAAGCCTCGCGCCAAGCCTCGCGCCAAGCCTCGCGCCAAGCCTCGCGCCAAGCCTCGCGCCAAGCCTCGCGCCAAGCCTCGCGCCAAGCCTCGCGCCAAGCCTCGCGCCAAGCCTCGCGCCAAGCCTCGCGCCAAGCCTCGCGCCAAGCCTCGCGCCAAGCCTCGCGCCAAGCCTCGCGCCAAGCCTCGCGCCAAGCCTCGCGCCAAGCCTCGCGCCAAGCCTCGCGCCAAGCCTCGCGCCAAGCCTCGCGCCAAGCCTCGCGCCAAGCCTCGCGCCAAGCCTCGCGCCAAGCCTCGCGCCAAGCCTCGCGCCAAGCCTCGCGCCAAGCCTCGCGCCAAGCCTCGCGCCAAGCCTCGCGCCAAGCCTCGCGCCAAGCCTCGCGCCAAGCCTCGCGCCAAGCCTCGCGCCAAGCCTCGCGCCAAGCCTCGCGCCAAGCCTCGCGCCAAGCCTCGCGCCAAGCCTCGCGCCAAGCCTCGCGCCAAGCCTCGCGCCAAGCCTCGCGCCCATCGTCCGTGAGGGCCGGCAGGGCCGCTGAGCCGTGGACTATGTATGGAGATGGACCGCGCCACCGCGCCACCGCGCCAAGGTGCGTCCAGCTACAGGTGTTCCTCTCGTGTTCCACATATGCATCGCCCTTGGCTGCGTCGGCTGCCTTGGCCGTGCGTGCCTTCGGTGCCTTCCCCCGGCGGGCGCATAGCGCATAGCACGGCACAGCCGGATTGCCGCACAGCCAGCCTCAAAGCCAGCCGCAGCCGCGGCCGTACAACGCGGTGTGGCGGTCTGGGTCCGGGAGCCGCGACACTTTCGATCAAACTTGGGGGCCAGCTCACAATGGGTCAGAAGACCGGCACAGGCGGACGAAACTCGAGACGCGTTTTGAGCTCGAGAGTCGCTAAATAGGACTCGAACCGAACGTGTGACCCCACCAATGGATTCCTCGTTCGGAGAGCAAGCTATTGGTGGGGTCACCCGTTCGGTTCGAGTCCCCTTTAGCGGCTCTGCAACTCAAAACACGTGGAGAACTTTGGCCGCCTGCGCAGGTCTTCTGGCCCACTGTGCAGCCGGGCGATTCAGAAGAGTCATTTTGTCGCTCTGTCTCCGTCGCACTCATGGGGCTCTCCAAGGGTGCGAGAAAGACAGCAAAAACCTCCCTTCTTACCTGAATCGCTCGGCAAACTGATTCCGCGCAGCGCTTCTTCGCTCTGTCCCTCTCACACCAGCACGGCCCTGGCCTGCGAGTGCGAGGAAGATAGAGCGACGAGTGCCCGGCAAAGTGGTAAAACACGCCACATCCATTCCGCCAGTGCAGGCGTGGGATCGTCGTCGCCGGTCAGGCGGGCCGGCGGGGCGCGCGGGGCGAGCCTCGTTGTGCCGCAAAGTGCAGCCCAGAGGTATGGACGTAAATTGCGAAATGGCGCAACGCGGCTGTCTATTTGCCTCGGCTGCATGGGCGTTCCGTCGGGGCGTTCCGTCGGGGCGTTCCGTCGGGGCGTTCCGTCGGGGCGTTCCGTCGGGGCGTTCCGTCGGGGCGTTCCGTCGGGGCGTTCCGTCGGGGCGTTCCGTCGGGGCGTTCCGTCGGGGCGTTCCGTCGGGGCGTTCCGTCCCTCGCACAGACACATCACTCACGCGCCACGCCTCGAGCTCGAACGTATCGATTTATTTCTCAGACAAATGAGTGTCCCGACGTGTCTCGCACTCGCAAGTCTCCGGACTCCGGCTGCACAGTGGGCCAGAAGACAGGCGCCGGCGGCCAAATCTCAAAACGCTTTTTGAGCGCCAGTGTCCATAAATAGGACCCGAACCGAGCGTGTGACCCCACCAACGGATTACTCTTCGAACGAGGAATCCATTGGTGGGGTCACGCGCTCGGTTCGAGTCCTATTTAGCGACTCTGGCGCTCAAAACGCATTTAGAGTTTTGGCCGCCGGCGCCGGTCTTCTGGCCAATCGTCAGTCATTGTGGTCCGGACGCTCAGGTGAAAAGGAGGATGGTTTTCAATGACACACCAATGTTATTCTCTGGCCATAGCCGAGCTTGCAGCGGGTTTATTTTTTATGTTTTTGGTTGGTCCGATCATCGTGTCAACACTCCGGCTGCCTCCAGCGTGCGCGTGGCGGCGGGCGTGGCAGGTGTCGCCCGTGTGGTGGTGGCGGCGGCAGCGGCTAGTGGAGGTAGTGCGGGTAGTGGGGGCTGTAGGCGAGGGGCAGCGGCAGGGGGTGCAGCGGCGCGGGGTGGAGGGGCAGCGGCAGCGGAGCAGGGTGGAGCGGCAGCGGCAGAGGCTTCACGTAGTGGATGGGGTACACGGGGCGGTCCACCTGCAACAACATGCGCGCCAAGTGGTTATCATGGTCGCCGCGCGTTGCCGCGTGTGGGAGGTGGGAGGCGAGGCGCCGCCATGCGCGAGGCGCACTGCGTGCACATCGCTGCGTGGTCATCTGGTGTGGCATTTCACGATCGCGCGAACCTCAAACTGGCAAAGCAGGCGCAAGGCACACTAAAGTACCGACGTGTTTGAAGTTGCCTGCTGCCATTTCTAGATGCGCATGGAAGCAAGTAAACTAGAAATCGTGCGAAAGCTTTGTACTTCGAGGGGCAGCAGGTCACATCCTCATCACCGTCAGGTTGCTCGGTCGACTACCTGCAGCGTAGACCACCGGCCCACAGTGGGTCAGAAGACCCCTGGAGTCAGTCATAGTCCCGGACGCGTTTTGATCTCAAGAGTCGCTAAATGGGATTCAAACCAAACGTGTGGCCCCTCCAATGGATTGCTCTCCGAACGAGGAATCCATTGGTGGGGGTCATACGCTCGGTTGAGTTATTCCATTTAGCGACGCTCGAACTGAAAACGCGTCTAGAGTTTTGGCCGCCGGCGCCGCCGGTCTTCTGGCCCACTGTGTGGCCGCCTGCAGCGTAGGCCACCGGCCGCCTGCAGCGTAGGCCACCCAAGCTGCTTCTATACACGCGTGTCAACCGGGCTGCCTATCCGTCAGGGGCTTCGGAGCGCAGCCAGCCCTCAGGGGACTCCTCTCTGGAGGCAAGTCGAAGACTGGACGTACCTTGTGGAAACTCTGGTAGGACGTGGCGATGGGCTTGATGATGACCGGGGGCGGCAGCGGGTGGTAGGGGTGGTAGGGGTAGTGCAGGGGCGGCGCCAGGGGCACGGGGTGCACCAGCGGCTTGGAGACGACGGCCGTGTGGTAGCCGTAGGACACGACGGGCGGGTGCAGCGGCAGCGGTACGGGGCCGTGGAGGTAGCCAGCGCGCACACCGTGGAGGCCGTGGAGCGCGGCGGCCAGCAGCGCCAGCAGCAGCGCGTGCTGCAGGTTGCACCAGGTGGCACCAGGTGGCACCAGGTTCACATGATTCAGACGTTTCGGGCATTTATCAAAGCTCAGCACGCCAAGTGGGGCAGTCGGTTTCCCCCGTGCACCAGTCGGCACCAGCTCACAAGCCGCGGCACTGTGGGACAGAAGACTGGTGGAGGCGGTCAAAATCCCGGACGCGTATTGAGCTCCAGAGTCGCTAAAAAGGGGTTCGAACCGAACGTGTGACCCCACCAATGGATTCCTGCTTCGGAGAGCAATCCATTGGTGGGGTCACACGTCCGATTCGAGTCCTATTTAGCGACTCTGGAGCTCAAAACGCGTCCGGGATTTTGACCGCCTCCACCGGTCTTCTGGTCCACTGTGGGCGGGCGGGTGGCGGGTGCCGTTCCCGCACCGTCCTACCGAGACCGAACTCACCACTGAGATCATGGTGCCGGAGTGGGCGAGGGCGTCGAGTCCTGGATGCGCTGGCCTATGGACCGCGCTGCCGCCGACTTGCAGTGTCGCAGTGCTGCGGTCCCTACACTGTGCTGCACTGCACTGCCCGGCTGGGGCACGACCTTTGGGCTTTTATCTGAATGCACTGTGCCTTGTGCCCGTGCCGTTGCATTGGCTTGCATTGGCTGCAGCTCCCCCTTGTGTTCCCTTCACCCACCCTTTTGCCTTCCTCTTCTCGTCCTCATCCTCCGATCCCTGATCCATTTCCCCTCCACTGCCAGTAGTGCCCATCGCTGAAGGCTCGAGGCTGAAGACACTTGCCCCAGGGAAATAAATCGTCCCACTGCAAACACACAACGCGCGCGCACAACACACACACACACGCACACACACACACAAACAACTAACCAAACACGTGCGCGAGGCGGAGATCTCGATACTCAAGATGTTGCACCGGTGTCCATCAGCGCAGCGCGGTGGTGGCGCGGCCACATACTGACCACTTGGTCGCCATCTGAGATGGTGTCTTTTCACCTACGTAACGTTTGTGGGTCAAGGATAGGGACGGGCGATTTCCAAATTTTAGTATCGCGATTGCGATTTCTCACATATCGCGATTTCATGCGATTAATCGCAAAATCGCAAACATCGCAAAAATCGCAAACATCGCAAGAATCGCAAAATCGCAAACAAACACAACAAAACTTATGTACTACCCATTATGGCACAAAATCTTTAAAAAATGTAAAAAAAATTCCTGAGTGGACAAATGGCAGGCTACTGGCAACGACAACACGCGCCAGCCTCGTTCGGTGCAGCTGTCGCGGAATCCATGCACGGTGCGATTTTTGCGATTTAGCAATTTTTTTGCGATTTTGCGATTTTTTGCGATTTTGCGATTAATCGCCAAGGTTCAAAAACCAAAATCGCATGGCGATTTTTTGAAAAAATCGCATCGCACCTGCGATTAATCGCAAAATCGCCCGTCCCTAAGGAAACGTTCAAAATGATTGTTCATACAGCTTTTATTTTTACATCAAGATGTTGTCATTGATTTGAAAATACAACAGCCTTGGAAGAAAAGAAAAGGCTTAGCCCATCCAGTTTTTACACATAAAGGGAAGGGTTTAATTGATATGACATGCTATCAATCACATTTAACATGTTGAATGTTTTTTTAAAAAAGTACAAAAGTAAGGAAAGAATACAAAGAGGAAAGCAAATAAAACATCAAGTGTCTAAAAGCAGCAAAACAAAACATAACAATCTGAACAAAATTTTAAAATAGGAACAACTAAGAGCAACAAATATATGCTAATCAGGTACAAACAGATAAAACAAAATAAATTAAAATATTTTTATGAACACAATATTTAAAGGGAAAACCAAACTAGACTAGCAATTCTTTAAAATTGCTTTTCACAACAAGACAAAAAAATAAAAAAATAGTGGTAATAATGCATTTTACCTATTTTTTCAGTATGCTTAATCATTCCTACAAGGATCTTTCGATTGTATTCAAATCAGAAGACATCCGTTACTGATATGACAGGTTTAGTCATTTTAATGGCATGTTTTACTTTGTATTTAATTCCCTTTTTGACGAACACTCAATTCACAGTGGTACTGAAACTGCCTTAAGGACTGAATAAGACAGTCCACACATACCACTGTTTCAAAGGAAAAAATGTCTCATTATTATCAGAAAATGAATGGCAAAATATACATATTTTTATGTGCCCAGAAGAGCTTAAGTGGAGCCCATAAGTGCAGCCATCTTTGTCACAGATGATATCATTGACGAAGGGAGTGTTGGAGTACCATTAGTGGAGCAGCTGGAATCACTTGAATTGCTGATTGGGGGAAGAAAATTGCATTCCTCAGCATGAGTCATAAGATGCTTCTTTAGATTGCTATTATGACCAAACTTTTGCTTACAGAATGGACAACTGAACCGCTTTTCTCCAGTGTGAGTTCTATAATGGACATTCAAATTGCTCTTGTGAGAAAACGTCAGTCCGCACTCAGAGCAAGAGTACGGTTTTTCCCCAGTATGAATTCGCATGTGAAGCCTTAACCCTTCTCTGCGAGCAAAAGAAAGGTCGCATTGGTCACACAAAAATGGTTTCTCTCCCGTATGAGTACGAATGTGAGCCTGGAGCCTGTTGTTGTGAGTGAAGCCTGCATCACACATGGGACACACGAAACACTTCTCACCCGTGTGAGTAGCAGAATGAATCTGGAGGGCCTCACTGCTGGCATATCTGCGGCCGCAAACTTTGCAGCCAAAAGGCTTCAGCCCCCTATGAATGGTCACGTGCTTCTTTAAGTTACCACTTGAAGCAAAACGCTGCCCACATTCGGGACACTCAAAAGGTTTTTCACCAGTGTGTGTGCGCCAGTGTAATTTCAATCCACTTTTCAGAGAAAATGAAGCGGCACAAACAGGACAAGCAAATGGCCTTTCTCGAGTGTGTACACTATAATGCTTTGTCAGGTTACTCTTGTATGCAAACCTCTGGCCACATTCCTTACACACAAATGGCTTTTCACCAGTGTGAACTTGCATATGAGCTTTGAGATCAGTCTTATTTGTGAAACTCCTCCCACACTCATTACAAACTTGAATACCTGATGATTCCTTTCTCACATTTTCATGATCGATATGTTGTTGTTGAATAAGTACCACCGATGAGGATTCATCTGAAACATTGATGACAGTTAAGTGAAATCCCAAAGTTATTTTCTCAAATGACATCAAAAGGACAAAAAAAAATTAAAAAAAAAAAAAATCTAAAATTTACCTTGTAAGGCAGGAAGTGTTGAGGTCCCAGATTGATCTTTAAGCTGCTCCTCTTCTACAAGTTGTTGGATAACTGGACCTAAAACTTTGATAAGATTTACTATCATAAAAGGCAAGGCACAACATCAAGTATAATTGCTAGATTTGCAAATACCTGGTGGGTCCAGAGCAATAGCTGCATCATTTGAAACTGTGGGGAGTCCACTGGGTGAAGAACATTGGCCATCAGTACTGACAGTACCACTATCAATTTTTGGGGCTACCACCTTCAGATAAGATTTAATGAGGTGCTTTAAAAACCAGGGGACTGGCTCAGATTCATGAGCTAAAAATAAAGCAAAATGTAAAACATTAGAAACACTAATTTGAAAATTTTACAAATGACCAAATTAACATAGAGGTGACAATGCATTCTTACAAGTTCCTGCTTCATCCATGGGAGGAAAGGCCATTAGAGCGTGTGAACTATTATTAGTGCTTGATAACAACACATCATTGGAGTGATGAACACATCTCTCCATGGGTTTATGGGTCTCTGAATGAAAGATTTCTGGAGACGTTACTGTGGCTTCCAGAATGAAGTCTGGATTCACTCCGCGCAAGATTGAAGAAATATCATTTTCTTGGTTTGCCTGATGTTGTTTCAATTCAGGTGATGGGCTGGTTGCACTCTGATGGAATGATTCGGTGTTGAGGGCTAGTGAATCATTACTGTTGTGAGTGTCAAAAGGCCTTCCTGGATGAACTTCGGAGCTGAAATGAGATTTGATTCCATTGCATATGTCAGAGTGTTGACTTAGGTACTCCTCACTCCCAAACAACTCATTGCAGTCGGGGCATACAAAGGGCACACCTGAAAACAAACAAAGCATTATTTTAACAAATCATGGAACAGTCTGACAAAAAAAGGGAAACACTGTCAGCATTTCAAATTTACCAAGGTCTGCTACAAAGTTTTGATACAAATTTAAATCAAGATTTGCCTTGTCCATTGTCGAAACAAGTATCAGTCGGCAATCAGCAGAGGCGGATTCCTGAAACAAATAAAGCACTTTAATAAACAAACATAAATATGTTTTGTGCCAAGCTATGATAAATGTTTAGAGTGTTGGAGATTGGAGAGAAGAAGACTTGACGTCAATAGAATTTTGATCGTATTTTAAAAGAGTAAGACTAAGTTGTAAGAGAGGTGTAAATACTAACCCGATAGGATAGTCATTAAGAAGAAACAACAACGAGTATCTTCCTAAACCAACATTACTTTAGAATCCTCTTAGGTTATTCTCTCCTTGAAACAGTTCATAACTGAAAAACTATGGGTTGCTGAGCTTTGAACTAATGATAAGTAATGAATGTAACCTTCTCATTTTCACTCATATCAGTATAAACACAACATAACCACTATTGACAAGACGAGACGACTGCCTCTAACCCAGTCTAACCTATTGGCAGGCAGATTGTGCGGCTGTAAAGGATGTAAACAAACGTCGACGGCTTCAGATCTCTTCAACTTTTTTCCCTAATTTTGATTTGTTCTGATTTAAGTTGACGAGTGCAGTTTCATTTAGCCATTGAAAAATGCTCAGCTGCTGCAGGAAATAAGTCGTCATGTCTCTGGTGAATCTTAATTGACTAAATCGCTAGGGCGTCCCTCATTTCTCATAGGTTATATATGTTTTACAATGACCGAAGGAAAAATGAACAAAAAGGGAGCGAAATGTTTTCCTGGGAAAGAATCATTTCAAAGGATGAATTTTTTGTATCAGGTATGTTCCTAGGTCCTAACTTGTCATCCAATGTCTATGGTTTGTATGTAGGAATAAATTTAATGTTGTGTTTCTCAGGCGGCTCATGTTACTTTGGCTAAAGATCATAAGAACTGTGACATACCTGCATATTTTGGAAACTCCATGGTATCCATTGCCAGGAAATCTGTTCTTAGAATGTAAGTTAGCAATTTATACGAAAGTCAACAATGGTTTATCTTCTATTTTACAGCCAGTATTATTCTAATTGGCATTTGATTATTGCAGGGAACCTTCCATCAAGAGAGAATTTTGCAAGGGTTGCAATAGCCTGCTGAAATCTGGGTTAACTGCAAGGATCCGTATTCGTTCTGGTAACATGATTTGTACATGCTTACGTTGCGGCACTGTCAAAAGGTTTCCTACTAAACGGCAATATAAGCTGTGGTCAGAATGTGATGATGCCTGCCTTGAAATATTAGATGAATCAACTGGTATTGAGAAAACGGAATTTTCCCAGAATGAAGCCACTAAATCAAAGTCATTAAAACCAGAAGTTAAGGTTTTGGATGAAGACAAATCTGAAGCATTGAAGGAAGAGACTACTGTTAGTATAGCAGAAGGTAGATGAGAGGCCCCCCCAAAGAACACTACAACCTGGTATATATATTTTATTTGTAAGAAATCAGTCATTCTTGCATTGTGAAAAGTTGTGTATTGGTAGTTATGTAATTTATGTTTGTATTCAATCCTATCTGGTGGGTGAGAAAATTTATTGAAATAGAAAGAAAAGATAAAGTCAGCAGAGTTGTTCAATTAATTTAGTAAAACATAATTTTAAAAGTATGTAACAAGTTATAACAGTTAACATAAAATACAGGCATGTATAATTGAGAATTGTAACTCATTTACCCTGAAATGGGCCTCCAACCATGTGATCAAATACTTATTTTCAGTTTGACTGTATTGCTAGGTACATATTTACACAATATCTTCAACGTCGGCATCAGAAAGCCTAAGATTTATGAAGAATAAAACAAGCTTTAGCACAATCATTTACTCAAAGAATTAACTGGGTGGTTCAGTTTGGATCACACACCTTACATAGAGTCCAGTAGGATCATGGTGGGCCAGCAGCCAATAAAGAAGCTGAGGACAATATAACTAACACTTGCTCTGGGGTAGGACATGCTACCACCAGCATGTCCTCAGCAGAGTACTTCTCAGTCACTAAATGCTGCTGGAGACTTGCAAAATAACTCACAACATTATTCTGGAAAAAAAAAGAAAAGAAAACAAGTAACATACGTACATGGGCATCCAACCAAATTACCTCAGGGTGCATAAACTCTATTGGGTGTTACCTTAATAGGTCGGTAAAGGATTGATTCAGTATCTTTGTTAGCCAGGTATAGTTGCATACTGCGTTGAAGAACAGGCAAGACATTCTTCATCAATTTCTGAGTCTCACGGACCGTCGTCCCAATAGCACTGGGTGTGGCAAAGTGCTGCTGCTTTAATTCTACATCTTTCAACTTTTCACCTTCCTCTGATTTCATTTTTAGGAATGACTGGACCTATTTACAGAAAATTTACACCAAGTGAGATGGCACAATCATGTTCATTAGGATGCGCAAGATTGCAATTAACTTTCTCATTGACAATTGATGATTTTTTTTACAAGTGAAAACAATTCATTGTGCAATTTGATAAAAACTCTGCCCTTTACCTGTGTCAGGAATGTTTGCAATGGACCCACTAATGCAGTGGTGGCACTTGCAATGAACTTTTCACAAGTGGCTTTTAATCTTAAGTCAACATCTCGCCTGCTGTCAATGAGTTGCTCTCGGACTGCAGGGGTGCCATCCAAAAGAAACTCCAGAATAGCATTGTTTGCATTAAACGAGAGAAGCTGTCTCCTTCGTTGTAGGAGCCCAAAAGCTAAAAAGAGGTGAAGCACATTACATCAAAACAACCAACAAACTTTAGCACTGGGTTCTGCATGTATAAACAACTTACCAGCAGTCTTCACCTTACTGAAATCCAAGCTCGTCTCACGAATTGTAAAATCTACTTGGAATGGAGCTATTTGTTCTCTCAAAATTAAGAGATGTTTTACTTCAAACAATTCTCCATCCATGGCAGTCTGCAAAAGAGAATGTGGTATAATAAATTCTGTAAATGTCGACACAAAAAATATAATAGGCACGCAGTTTTCAAAACCTCACTGTCTTTCCAATTTTAACCTACCTTTCTTTGAGAAATAGCATCAGCAGCAGCTGTCACACTTTGCATGCACATACTGAGCGCCTCTTGCGACAGTCCTTGAAAGATGGGCCTTTCAACACAGCGGTAGAGCCGAGATAAACAGACTAGAGTTCGGCGCACGGTTGGGTACCACATACCATGAAGGTCTGCAGGTGAATCTGAAATAAAAATTACAATTTTGTCAAGTCTATTTTTTTTTTTAATTTTAGAAAAATATTGATTGAGAAATCTTGATGTGAGGAAACACTAACTTCCAGTGCGGGACCGGGGTTGTTCCACTGCGTGGTTGATGTGTGCTACTTCTTGAGAAGTTGCAGAACCAATTGAGGCCAAAGATGAGCGAGAATCAGATCGACGCATTTTTCTCTCAGACTGTTGAGTCTGTTGTTCAGCTATAGATTGAGCAATGCTCTAATTTTTTTTAAAGAAAAATTGTAATTAATTAGAATTGTCATGCTTGTTCCATTCAAATTTACAGGGACAAAAGAGAACTTTTAAACTAAGCCTACCTCCATCATCTCCAACTTCTCTGGGTATGCAAGGTCCCCTGGAGCTGGCTTGTAATTTAAAATATCTGACTGTAAATAAAGGTGAGCACGGAAAACTAGCCGCTCTTGAACGTCTTGTAGTAGCTGCCAAACTACCCGTCCAAAAGCCTCCAATGGACCAGCTGTAATAAATGAGCAAGAAACAGGTCAATTCAAAACTGAAATCAAACTTCATTGTATCAAATTCGTTTATTTTACACATTTTACTTACGATTGGACGGCACATGTTCTTCAAGCATTTCAACTCTCAATATAGAGCAAATTTCTGCCAGTGTTTCCAGATGGTTAATGTGAATAATTGCTGGCCGTAAAACATCATAAAGGCTAGTACACAACCCTTCCAAGTAATCACTGCACAACAATGTGTAAGCAATAAGATATAATTATTATTTTCTTTTTAAGTGTCAACAGAAAATAAAAAATAAATAAATGGAATTCTTACGTAAGCTGTGCTTGCACTTGGCTACTGAAAAATTCTGCAAACAGTCTATGCTCATCTTGACAAATGTGCAATAAAAATGCACATCCAGAACGGACCATTGTGCAGTGGTCGCCCTTATGGCGGAGTGATAATTCTCGAACCGCAGTGCAGACACTAGACCACAATAGTTGATGACGTTGCTCAACATAACATGATTGGCAGTCCAGGAGAAGACCTTCATACCTGCAATGTGGTTTAATTTTTTTTAAGTTTATGTTTATTTTGGTGGAAAGAAAAAGTTGAACCTTAAACTCACCCGCTATTTGCAATTTTTTGGACTCTCTCTTCAATGTGTCCCAAGACAGACCGAATGCGAGGAGCACAAGCTTGAAACTTTCCATAACACCTTGCAAAGTCCGAATCTGCAGCTGGAATGATATTTGCACTGGGGGTTGTTGAGCTGTCAGTTAAAGGTGAAGGGGCAGAGAGGCATTGCTGTGTTGCAGTCTGAAGAATTTGTGTGACATAGGATCGTACCAATGCTACAGCCCTGCTTTGACAATGGTGCAGTTTCGCCAGGTACACTCGTGACTCCTTAAAATTGGCCTATGAATGCAAATAGATATTGTTACTTTCAGTTAAAATAAAAATTGAAAAACGAAGTTGAAAAAATTAAATTAAAAAAGTCTTACATGAGATGTCATGTACTCAATACATTCATCTAGACGATCCAAACACTCCTTAAATACAGGGCTATTGACGCCAAGTGTTGAAGAGGACAAGCGTTGAGTAATTCTATCTAAGGATCTAAAGAACTGAAGTCTCCTCTCCATTTCTGAATGAACTGTACTAAGCTTCATCTGGAGAAATAATTTTAAAAAAATTAATCGTCACTCATGGTTTGGAACACTCACTCCAAAACAACAAACTGTGTAATGTTTGAGCACTATACCTGGTCTGCAAGTAACTGTTCACTAACTTGATGCAAAGAATTTGTACTATTTGCAACTGTTTGGTGTTGTGTACTTAGTAGAGCAAGGTCTTTGAGGCATGACTCAACCTGATGGAGAGAAGTAAGGATGAAAGATCAGTCAGATAAATAGAATAATTTCCTTTACTTCAGCTTTCTTTAGAACTGTAGAGCTTTGTAGCTGTTCACAAACCTGGTTAAACAGCTCATCACATTCTTTCCGCCTGAGAGACATTTGCTGAAGGTAGCTGATGTACACGGCATTGGCTTGATCCTCAAGCTGCTCCTCTACTTCACGATGCCATTCAAGAAACTACAAAACGAGTAGCAGTAGTTCATTGGCAAGATTAACATTTAAAATTTAACAGAGGTAGAAATTTGTTAAAATTTGCTACAAACCTTTTGTGTTGTCCCTATGTTTGATGGTTTGAGAGGAAACACTGATTTTTCAGAAGAATATAAAGGAGGTAAATTAAGATTGGTTGCTTCTTGAATGTCATCGCTCTCATCATTGATGGACATCTTTTTAATCTCGCCAGAGATCGTATCGCCATCTGGTAGCTGCAAGGAGAGGAGAGACATAATGAAGCAAAAAGTTCACTCAAGTAAGACAAAATCATTCAATTTTTATGAGCCCTTTGAGTCTTTAAAGGAGCTGTCATATCAAAAGATAACATAACCACAAATTTCTCAAAAACTATACAATGACAATAGATGACGAGGGGAACTTGAGCTCATATCACAGCTTATCTACCCAGAAAATAGAAATATAATTCCAAGCCATGCTAAGGAAGCACGAACGTCACAAAGCCAATTTCATTGACAGTAAACAGAGTACCATAACCAACCGCTGTGGAATAATGACAGAAAGTGTACTAACATTAGAAGGAACATTCCGGACACCAACTGCTTCGGATATTTCGTAAATAGCATTTCTTTGAGACAAGCTCAGCGGTGCCAGGGAGTTTTCCGGATGTTCCCATTCTTGAAGTTTATTTTGAATTTGACGCAAGTCTGCACTCGCCACGTCGGCCATGATGGTGGTGCAGCCGACTAACAATTATGAGAAATAAACGGCATCGCATCGCCGGAGTATGAGAAATAGAGCGTGCTGCAGGGGAAGTCCGGCGCAGGCCCTCTGGCGGGCGCCGCGCGCACCCCGACGAGGACGGCGTCGCGCCGGCTGGAGCTGGAGCGGCCTGTGGACGCGGACGCCGACGCGCCACCCCCTGATGGAGCCCAAGCCGAAGGGAAGGGAAGGGAAGGCGAGCTGCCGGCCCTTGCAGCGCCGCGCCGCCGCGCCGCGCGTCCAGTCCACAGCCGCCAGGCCGACAGCCGAGTCTTGCGAGCGAACCGCCGAAGCGCCGAACCGCCCCCGCAAGGCGCGAAGCGCGAAGCGCGAGCAGAGACGTAGCGCGGCTCGTAGCGCGGCGTGCCCCGCGACACAGCGACCCAGTGCGCGTGCCATGTGAAGCAGTGTGCTGAACAGTGAGTGCCGAGTGAGAGAGAGGTCATGTCCTTCGTGGTGCTCGCGGCCGCGATGGTCGCCGTGTTGGTGGCGGTGCCGGCGCCCGTGCGCCCCGCGCCGCCGGACAGCTTCCTCAAGATGTTCCCCGCCATCTCGACGACGCCGCCCGACCCGTGCTACGACGAGGCGCAGACGCAGACGCCCAAGCGCTGCATGCCCGACTTCGTGAACGCGGCCTTCGGCAAGGCGGTGGAGGCGTCGTCCACGTGCGGCACCGCCGGCCCGGCGCGCTTCTGCGACAACACCCCCGACGGGCCGGGGGCCGCCACGGCCGGCACCAGCGCCAACAACCCGCTCTGCCACATCTGCGACGACACCAACCCCAAGCGCCGCTACCCGGCCTCCTTCCTGACCGACCTCAACAACCTGTCCAACGTGACGTGCTGGCGCTCCGAGCCGCAGCCGCCGCCCGCGTCCAGCGCCGCGCCGCCGGACAACGTGAGCCTCACGCTCAGCCTGGGCAAGAAGTACGAGCTGACGTACGTGAGCCTGCAGTTCTGCCCGCGCGCCGTCAAGCCCGACTCGCTGGCCATCTACAAGTCCATGGACTACGGCAAGACGTGGCAGCCGTGGCACTTCTACTCGTCGCAGTGCCGCCGCGTGTACGGCCGGCCCAACCGCGCCACCATCACGCGCGCCAACGAGCAGGAGGCCCTCTGCACGGACGGCAGCTCCATGGCGTCCCGGATCGCCTTCAGCACGCTCGAGGGCCGGCCCTCCGCCGCCGAGTTCGACTACTCGCCCGTCCTGCAGGACTGGGTCACCGCCACCGACGTGAAGGTCGTCTTCAACCGCCTCTACTTCCCCAAAGTAAGGGACCGCCAGGACGCGGGCCAATTCGCACGGCCTGCCCGACGGCCTGCCCGGCCTCCGCCAGGCTTCGCTCGCGATTATTGTTATTTCGGACGGCCCCCTCGCGCCATGGGCTTGCCATAGGCGTGCCCAGGCCGCCAACCCCGCCCCCTCCCTGCCCTGCCGTCCCCCAGGACGTGTTGTACTCGTATTTGCATATGCAGACCGAAACGTTTGAGGGGTCTTCCACCTCCAGCCGGCTCGCGCTGTGACCCTTGGGAGGCGCCAGCCCCGCCAGCCCCGCCAGCCCTGCGCCACGCTGTGTGCTTTGCACAGCCCTGGGCCCCACGCAGCCCGCGCCCGCCCGAGCAGTCAGCCCGCCGCTTTGTTGTGTAGAGGGTGATGATACGTTTCCGACTGCCTTTGCTCAGAAGCACGGTGGCGGGGCGGGGTCTCTCTCTCTCTCTCTCTCTCTCTCTCTCTCTCCCTCCCTCTCTTGCTCTCTCTCCGCATCTGCACCCCCAATGTTGACTCGTGAAAGGCCTATCAGGACTCGCGGCGCGGAGCTGCCAAGTCTCGTGGCCTTGGAGGCCTGGCCCGCCTCGTTCGACTAGCACAAGTAGACTGATTCCGAGAGTCACCGAGAGTGGTTTTCGTCGCTCTGTCTCTCTCGCACCTACTCGGGGTGCCCCATGACAGCGAGAGAGACAGAAAACGACTCTCGGAATCGGTCTGCTGGGCGCCTCCCTCCTCGTCCTAAAGGCGGCCGTGGACGTGCTCCCGCATCACTGTTTCATCCGGCCGTCGCGGCGGGGGTCTTGTCAACCCCGACGCCGTCCGCCGCCGCGTCACGACAGGACAGGGACGTGCGACCGGACGTGACGCTTCGCGGCGTCTCCGGAATCTGCCGAGCGACTCAGAAGATCGGTTTCCCGCTCTGTCTCTCTCGCACCCTCACGGAGAGCCCCATCAGTGCGACAGAGACAGAGCGACGAAATGACTCTCCTCGACTCTCCTGAATCGCCCAGATGGCTCCGAGGAGCTACTTGCTTTCGTCTTTTGAGTGAGGCGGCTCAGAAACGGACGAGTCTCAAATACCGAATCGTGCGACTCGGAATTCGGCATTCTTATGTGTACAGTGAGAGCACGAGATGGCATTGCCATTTGGCCGCTTTGCTGGCTTGGACACCTTGCGACACCGGTTAACTGAGATGAGTGGCATTTTGTGCGGGTTGACCACAGGGGAGATGAATGCTAGGCGAGGATTCTCCTTCCTGGGCGTTAAAAGATTCACATCACATATGATTCCCACCGATACTAACTCGCACAGGTGCCTTAAAAATCATTTCCATAAGCGGGGTGCAACTAACTCTCATGCACATACTCAGTTACTTTTCTGCATGCGGTGTTCTTCCGGGTCAGCCCACCCTCTGATTCTTAAGAATGTTTTCGCACTCTCTCGCACTCACTGGGGCCGCGAGCGAGATGGAGCGAGACAGCGCGACAGCGGCAGGTCCACTGTTCGGCGTCTTCCGCGGTCACTTTCCTCCGCCTTTCAGACTTTCCGACGAGCTCAGTTACATTTATTATAACTCGGCGCCCGTCTTCGGGTTTCGCGATGCTGCGGATGAAAGTTTCACAACGGACTGGCAGGCTGCCGGCGCTGGGCTCGTTGTTCGTTCGTCACCTCGCTCCCCGATGCCGAGGCCGCCGGGGCCGCCGAGGCCACGGCCTCCAGGCCGCCGCTGTGCTACGCCGTCTCGCGCAGGCGGAGAGTAAAGAGTGCCTCGCGGTGATAAAAGACCAACAGTCTCGAGTCACTACGACAACATTTTGCCTCGGGAAACTAGACGGCCTCCACCTGCGGCCGTTGTAAGGTCCCCTAAACAAATTTCTCCCCCGGTCGCCCTGCATGAAAAACAAGGCAGAAAAAGGGCTTTATTTTTCATTGCGATTGAGTGGGGCGCGCTTTGTTTTAAAACGGCCCGCTCCACCGCGCAATGGCCCTGCCGCCCTGCCCGCCCTGCCTGCTCTGCCAGTCACTCTGTCTCGCTCACTTCTACGCAACGCCCCACGGGTGCGAGAGAGACGGAGCAGCCTCCGCGCGGAAGCAGCCTGCCGCCAGCAGAACGCAGCCTCGGCGCATAATCCGCCCTAACTGTGTACGCGATTTGGACTGCGAGGCAAATCCCGCCCCGCCCTGCGCCGCGCCCCGCCGGGTGGTCCGGGCGGGAGGGTGGCTGGGCTGGGGCGCAGCGGCGACGAACCGTGTCCGAGCTCCGAGGGACTTCCTCGGAGTAAGGGAGGTCGCTAGGGCTGGGTGTGCACATGTTGCGAGGGCGCGGCACGGCCTCGGCCAGGGCACGGCCACGACCACGGCTCGCCACGGCCTCGGCCAAAGTAAGGCCACGCCACGGCCTCGGCCAAAGTAAGGCCACGCCACGGCCTCGGCCAAAGTAAGGCCACGCCACGGCCTCGGCCAAGGTAAGGCCACGCCACGGCCTCGGCCAAGGTAAGGCCACGCCACGGCCTCGGCCAAGGTAAGGCCACGCCACGGCCTCGGCCAAAGTAGGGCCACGGCACGGCCTCGGCCAAAGTAAGGCCACGGCACGGCCTCGGCCAAGGTAAGGCCACGCCACGGCCTCGGCCAAGGTAAGGCCACGCCACGGCCTCGGCCAAGGTAAGGTCACGGCACGGCCTCGGCCACGGCTCGGCATGGGGTGGGATGGGGTAGCTCCAGCTGGTAGGAATGAAAATCTCGGAGATGGCCTCGGCCTCGGCCACGCCCGGCTCGTTTGCAAAATGCAGGGCATTATGTCCCCCCAGTTGGCCGCTGGCTTGGCGGCTGGCTTGGCCACTGGAGTGGCCCCACCCGGCACCACCGAGGCTGCCCTACACCTCCTGGTGGGCCGGGCCGCCGAGCCATGTGAAGTGGCTGCCAAGTCGGGCACTGTTAAATTCGGGTTAACCGCTCTGCGCTGTGAGCACCCAGCCGAAAATCTCGGTTACGATTACGGCCGGTTTCGACTCCGATTCCGACCCCGACCGGGAGAGTTCCGGTTACCTTCGTAATTTCGGACAGGGTCCGGCTACGGGTACGATCGGACCCGGACGAAGTTGCGATTACGATCGTAGCCTGATGGGACCGTGGTGAAATGGAGGTGCGCAGAGTCTCCAAGTCCGTTGCCTGTGACCTCTCTCTACCCTCTGATTTCAATGCACGATACATGAGCCCAGAGTGAACTTTGCGCGCTACGCCCAATTTTGACGTCAAAAATTTGTTGCCAGGTACCCTTTACAAGTTATTGAGTGTTTCTGAAAGTTCACTGGAGACTTCAACGCATGGGCAACGCATCTTGGAGTCCGGATCCGTAACCGGAACGGGTCCGATCGCAACCGGGAAGAGTCCGATCGTAACCGAGACGAGTCCGATCACAACCGGGAAAAGTCCGATCGTAATCAGGACAAGTCCGATCGTAATCAGGACAAGTCCGATCACAACCGGAGTTTCTTGTCGTAGTCGGGAATTAGGTCCGGTTTCCGACGGTAATCGGGAAATTTGGGCGATTTTCCGATCGGAACTCGTAATTTTCTACGGGATCGTAATCGAGATTTTCGGCTGGGCAAGCTGCGCTCGTGGAAGGTCCGTCCAGCGCACAGTGGGCCAGAAGACCGGTGGAGGCGGTCGTAACCCCGGACGGATTTATAGCTCCAGAGTCGCTAAATGGGACTCAAACCGAACGTGTGTGACCCCATCAATGGATTGCTCTCCGAACGAGCAATCCATTGGTAGGGTCACACGTTCGATTTCTGTCGTGTTTAGCCACTCTGGATCTGAAAACGCGTCCAGAGTTTTGGCCGCTGGCGCCGGTCTTCTGGCCGACTGCGTGAAACTAAAACTTAATTCCTCGAGTCCGATCGTCGTCTGTTTAGAGCACTCCACTCATTAGCGGGCCGATGCAAATCCCGAGGGATTTCCAGGATTTCCCGGACTGGACGCAACGGCGGCCCGGCGGATTTGGCAAGTTCTCTGGCACAGCCCTGGCACAGCCTGGCGCGGCGGTGGTGTGGCGAGGCCGGAGGCACTGCTGGTGTGCCCGGCTTGCTGCGCCACCGTAATCCTGATCGGCAAAGCGCTCGTCATTTAAATCCACTTCGGCGACCCTTGAAGCCTCCACGGCGGCGGTGGCCCGTCCCGAGCCGCCCCCTGCTGGGCTCCGCTGCCAGAGCACAGCTTCCTTGCTTTGCGGAACACCTAAAGTTTCCAGTGATGCCCTTTGACTGGGGCCAACAACAAAGCTTCTCTATTGAGATGGTTCCCAAGCCGAGGCGAGCCAAGCCGAAGCCGCGCTGAGCAGAAAGCCAAGCCGAGGCCAAACCGAGGCCGGGCGAGAGCCCAGCCCTTCACTTCGAAATCCTCCCCCTCCCCCCCAACGACACCGCGTACTCCGTGATTGACTCGGGCGGTGCTAAAGCAGCAGCTAAAGCCTCCGGGCCGCCACGCACTGCCACGCTGTAGTGTTGTACTCGACTCTCTCATTCGAGTGACTGAGTCTCTTCGAGTGAGCTATCGCGTGGCTCGAGCCTACGAGGCTTTACTGACAAAAAAACCGTCTGCAAAGTGCTTTAGCTAGATTAGAAAATTTTACTGTCTACTCTGATAAATAAGCCGTCGAATGACCCAAATATCCTACGTTTTATTTCATTTAATTGAAAGAGCTCGAGTGATTGACTTTCTGATTTACTTTGTTCGAGTGAATGAATGAGTCGAACGCGCCGGTTTCACTGACGAAGTCGGTGCTCTTTTGAGTCTCTTGACTCAGGACTGAAAGCGTTGATGGCCCTAATGCTGTCTCCGGGCTGGGTAGTGTAGGGGGAGGCTCCAGGCGGGTGTCGTAGGAGCAGCACCCGGTGGCGGTCGGGTGTAGTGTAGGGAAACGTTGGTTGTTCGGATAGGATAAATAAACCATGGCGCCACGTACAACACACAATTTGGCTTTCGATTAGCACAGTACGAGCGTAACCGCCTTGACAAGTGACAGTGTAACAGTGTGTGGACCGTCATTGTGCGCAGGACGACGCGGACGACTCGCTGTACGCCGAGCCGCAGCCGCAGACCCCGGCCAAGAAGGAGGCCGCAGTCGGCGGCGCGCCGCCCAGCAAGGCCAAGGTGCTGTCCACCTTCTACGGCACGGCCGGCCTGGGCCAGCAGGGCCTGGGCATGCTGGCCGGCCACGCCGCGCCCACGGCGCCGGCCTTCAGCGAGGAGGAGGACGACGAGGACGACGAGGACAACAACGCGCAGCGCGACCAGCCGCAGGCCATGGAGCCGTCGCTCAAGTTCAAGCCGGAGCTGGACAACTCGCTGGGCACCACGGCCACCACCAGCATCAGCATGTCGCACTACGCCGTCAGCGACTTCGCCGTCGGCGGGCGCTGCAAGTGCAACGGGCACGCGTCGCGCTGCTCGGCCAGCGGCGGCCAGCTGAGCTGCGACTGCAGGCACAACACGGCGGGCAGGGAGTGCGAGCGCTGCAAGCCCTTCCACTTCGACCGGCCCTGGGCGCGCGCCACCGCCAAGGACGCCAACGAGTGCAAAGGTAAGCGTAGTGGACTTGGCAGTGGCCGAGGCCGGGGGGGGGGGGGGGGGCAGTACGGGGCAGCACGTCCCCGTCGTCGTGGCCGGCAGGTCAGTGCGTTGCGGAGCGCATCGCGGCGCCTCAAAGTGGCCGAGGCGCCGAGGCCTGGGGCGGGGTGGTAAGTACGTGGCTCGCCGGCGCGCGTCTGGCCGTGGCGGCTGGCGCGGCCAGCGGCTGCAAGTACTGCCCCACGGCCTCGAGGTCCGGCACGCCGCGCCGCCAGCCACGGCCAGCGGCCAGCCCGCCACCGCAAGCAGCGTGCCGTGAAATTGCACCCTCTCTGCAAGGCAGCCCGGCACGGCGGACCGCTGTGTGGTTTACCAAGATTTCACAACCCCGTCCAGGCCAGGCCAGGACAGCTCCGCCCCGCTCCGCCCCGCTCCGCCCCGCTCCGCCCCGCTCCGCCCCGCTCCGCCCCGCTCCGCCCCGCTCCGCCCCGCTCCGCCCCGCTCCGCCCCGCGGTTGCCAGGAATTAATCCACGCCACTTTGAGAGGGGAAATAATTGGGCGTCGCCCGGACCGCGCACCGCGCCGCCACCACCACCGCCCTCGCCGCCGCCACGCCACCGCCACGGACGCACAGCGCAGCAGCGCACTCAGGCACTCAGTGGCAACGGCACATCACCGCAGCGTGGGCCAGTCCGAGTCTGGCCAAGTCCAAGGATGCCAGATCCGTGGCGGGTCGCTTGGAACGATCTGGATGGCGATCCTGGATATCCCGATCTCGTCCCCTCCCTGATGTTGCCGCATTGAGGGGGCCCTTTGGCGAGCCTTTTCTCAGGCCACGTCGTCGGTATGGGATCCAAACACGTTTTTGGACGGTCCAGAACCGAGTGAAAGGACCAAGGTTGCGTGACGCGCGCAGCCTCCTGCCTGCCCGACGTCCAACTCAAAGCCTCAAAGAACACCTTGGCGTCGGCCAGAGGCAGCTGCACGGGGTTCAGGGGTACTTCGCGTTGACGCAGAGTTTCTCCGTTTTCAGTTCCCGGAGAGACAGTCGGAAAAAAGAACTAGTACTCGAGAAACTGCACTGCTCCTTGTCCCCATGGGAACACCCATATTCCATCCACGTAGAATCTCTGTGGACAAGGTGGATACGACCACGTGGATTTATCCACCTGTTATTAATATGTCATCGACGTTGAATTCAAAGCGAACAATCAATGTGGACTCTGACCCCTGGTTTCAACGTTGATTACTGATGTGCAATTCTATGTGGATTGGAGGCCTTCTATTCGATGTGTTTTGATGGGTGCACGATCGACGTGGATAAAAACATTCTCTATCCATGAGGTAATTCACAGGCATTCGGAGATGTGGAACACCACACTACGCATCCACGTCGACTCTCAGTATGTCTTGAAATGTAGATCACACCGCGTTAGATCCACCGGGCGTTTTAGGTGGTTGAGAGACGTGTTTAGGAACATGAAGTTTCAATATGGTTAGATGGTGCTGGGCCGCATGTGGGCCATCTGGGCCCTATTCTACACGATCTCGATGTCGATCATATGTATCCAAATTCATTGAAACAAAGTCGTCTCTTTATGCCGGATTCATCTGAGTAGATTCGGACGCTTCCACGTGGATTGAATGAAGATGAGTGAGGACCTTGGAACTCGATTAGTTTTAAAAGCTGCCGACAGAGGGCCTGCTGATATTCTTGTCATTCCTTCCCCTCTCGGCCTGCTAGTAGGATGCCAATTCACCATATCCCAGAGCTAAATAACAAAGCACATCGGGCAGCTCCAGAGGACTTCGCAGTCTTTGGACGAAATGTTTCGGTCATTTCATTTTTAGACATCCTCAAGGGAGTTAACCTTGAGGGCTTCCTAACAAAAGTGTTAGGAATGACCGATATGCGCCTCGATGTAACATCGATGGTGGGTGGATAAGGCGAGTTAGGGTAAGGGATGTCCCCATGGGCAGCAGATGGCCGCTGAAGAATCAACATCGATGTGATGGGGATCGCGAATTTTCTGATATGGATTCTATGTGGATAGCAGGTTTAAGAGTTCCTATCAAATCGACATATCTATCTCTTATCCACGTGGAAATTACATTTCGATATGTCTGGATCCACGTGGAATCCACCTATACTCGAGTACCGCTATCCCGTGGATGATCGACTCGATCATCCACGTAACATCCACGTCGTTCCTCCACATCGATTCCACGTGAATTCGATATGGGTGTTCCCATGGGGGTTGTGCTGCAGTGGGACGGCGGCTGGGACGGCGGTTCGCGGCCTCGCACACCTATTTTCGCCCTGCGCGCTGCCAAGCGTTGCCAAGCGCTAAGCGCCTTTCCCATTTCCATTTACCGTTGCAAAAAGAAAGGGGGCGCAAATAAAAATCCCCGCCACGTTTCGGACCAATCGCAGCCCTCGCCCCGTCATTCGCGAGAAGAATGCGGGCAGATTATTCAATTATATTCGATTTGCGGGATGGCGAAATGGTTTCGGTAATTCGAGGTGTACGGCGGGGGCGGCCGGGCCGGGAAATGGGAAATTGGAAAGGAGGAAGGGGGGGGGGGGGGGGTAAACTCCGTCCAGCGAGTGAGGCGCGCGTGTCAAATGAAGGAGCTCGATAGGAAAAAATAAGCGAGAACGGCATGCGCGGGAGTTTTGAAAAGAGACAAACTCTGTCGTCCCGCCGTCACCACACTGCTCAAATAAAATGCGACGACCTGGGCGACCAAAAAGAGGAACACCGCTCGAGGTCCGTCGGCGTTACTGCCATAAAAAGGGGGCAAATGGAAACACCCGCTGGGGGTCCGGTCGGTCGGCCGGGTCCGGTGGTCGGGCCACCGCCGCCTTGCCACGCCGCCACGCCGCGGGTCCAGCCTTGCCTCTCATTTTCTGCCCGCTCTCCGTCGCTCTCCGCTGCTCCGTGTCGCTCTCTCCCTTGCACCCTTGCTTGCACCCCTTTGCCCCCCACCCCGCTCCATCCCGTCTGCTGCCCCGGTAATTATGAGCGGCGTCTCGTCGGCCTGCCCGTGCTTGCCAGTGTGCTTGCCAGTGTGCTTGCCAGTGTGCTTGCCAGTGGCCTCGCAGCCTCGGGCCGCAGCTTGCGCTCCGTCTCTGTCGCACCCCCTCGGGCCCAGGGGCCGGCCCGCGAGTGCGACGGGGAATGAGTCCGCTGCCCAGACGCGCAGACTAACCCAATCACCCTTCCCTCCCTGTTCTTTCTGGCCCCTCATGCGCGGCAAACGTGTAGTCAAACTTGGAAGAGCCCGGGTTAGTCAATAGACGACTTGAGCTAGGCGAAAGAAGAGGAAGAAAACACCTTCCCGAACATGGCGGACGGCCGCCGTCGGCTGCTAGGACCAATGAGGGGCCGGCCGCCATGTTCGGGAAGGTGTTTTCTTCCTCTTCTTTCGCCTAGCTCAAGTCGTCTATTACAGCTTCGCCGGCTCGTCCCTCCGGCCGGCGGGGCGGGGCGGGGGCGACTCGGCTCGCTGCGGCGGATGCGGTTCACAGTGGGCCAGACGACCGGCGCTGGCGGCCAAAACTGTAGACGCGTTTTTACCTTCACAGTCACTAGGGACTCGAACCGAACGTGTGACCCCACCAATGGATTGCTCTCCGAACGAGGAATCCACTGGTGGGGTCACACGTTCGGTTCGAGTTCTTTCAAGCGACTCTGTACGCCGAAACGCGTCTCGAGTTTTGGTCGCCTCCACCGGTCTTCTGGTCCACTGTGCGGTGTGTCCCGAGCGCAAGCGCGGTCTCTCTCAGAGGCCCTGGCTACGCGGACCGCAGCAACGCGCGCGCGAAGCGGCGAAGCGTCGGAACGGCCCCTGCCTCGGCCTCGGCCTCGTACCAGTTGATCCTCTTTGAGCTCCCCACGGCCGCAGAGACTCAAGGCAGCCCGAGTTGTGCCGCGGAGTGGGTAGTCAGTCGCGAGTCAAGCGACGTCAAACAGCGGTAGCGGCGTAGACAAACTTGTCTCAAGGCGGCTGTTTTTACGGTCGCGTCTGTCCGCGAGAGGAGCAAAGTGCCTAACCCACAGGCGCGCCTCCCCTGCAAGATAGACCCCAAAAAATTAGCTTCGCCCGTTGAAGTTGTATCAGTTTTGACGTCACCACGGTGCGATGCGAAGGCATTTTGAGCTTGTTTTGATCTGGTTCGGTTCGGCACCGCCGTCGCAGCCCCGGCCCACGGATAATCCATCCCCGAGAAGGAAGAGGAGGGGGGCCCGCCGCCGTCTCCGCGTCGCCCTGACACGCGTCGCGCCGCCTCGCGCCGCCTCGCGCCGCCTCGCGCCGCCTCGCCTCGCGCTATCCAAGCCAATGGCGACATTGTTTCCGGGTCGGCCCGGTGTTTGCATGGCCATGGCGCCGATGGTCGGACAGGTTGGAGTCCGGATAGCTTCGGATGGCTTCGGATAGCAGGAGTGCGGCTTGGAGAGCACGGGGGAGGCGGGCTGCCTTGGGCCGGCGAGATGGAGCGGCCAAGTTCAAACAGCTTTGCTCCGGGTATTGGAAAACTTGCCGCGTCAGCCTCGCCAGTCAGCCTCCCCCTCCGGGCCCTCCGCCCTAGGAGCTTCTTTTTCTCCCTTAGCATTCGATGTCTGCGGGACTCGTTGTGGGCCTGCAGTGGCGTGGCCAACTTGCCCTCCCCGCCGCTTTTTGCCGGGAGCATCGCGCCGCTGAAGCACCTTCTCGGCTCCGGAGAGTGCCCCTCGGAGCGCCCCGCCTGGGGCCGGGGGCCCGGGGCCGGTGCTTTTTCCGCCGCCCCTGGGCGACACTTGGAATCCGGTTGGCTACACTGCCAGGTGGCCAGCGGGGGCCACGTCGAGTGGTGCGAGGTACCAAGTATCAAGTACCAAGCATGGTGCCCAGTACCAAGCACCTTGCTCCAAGTACCAAGTACCATGTACCAAGAACCATGTACCAAGTACCATGTTCCAAGTACCAAGTACCCGGTACCAAATGTCAAGTAACCAGTACCATGTTCCCAGGACACAGTACCAGGTGCGAGTACCATCACGCAAGTGCCAAAAGTACGGGTCTTGCGCCTTCCACGAGCAAACATAAACACAAACAACGGTGGTTGTTTTCATTTATTTTTATATTTAATTAACTAATTAACTTTGTTTGAAGGGGTGTGGGTGGAGTTGGGGGCAGCTTTGAGAGGAAGACGACGTGGGAGGGGAGGGGAAGGGAAGTGCAGCGTTGCAGCCCTTCACCGACACCGTTCGGGAGGAGCGCGTCGAGGCCGTGTTGTTGGAGACCGACCCCGAGAGTCGTTTCCGCCGCGCTGTCTCTCTCTCGCACCTACACGGGACGCCCCAGGAGTGCGAGAGCGTCAGAGCGACGGAAACGACTCTCGGAATCAGTCTGCTGGGTGAGGATCAGAGGGTTGACGGCACACAAACTTTGGCCGGGCACCGATCCGATACACGCTGAAGGCGATGGACTTGATTGGCCCTCCCTCTCTGTCGCACTTCCGTCCCTCTCTGTCGCTCTCCGTTGCTCTCATTGGCTAATGAGGCCGGTGTTCGTGAGCCACTCCGGGGCCGCGGCGGGGGAGCGTTGGCTCGCAAAGGAATTCGGGAGGGCGAAGGGCGGAGGGGCGGAGGATAAAGTTCTCAGCTACTTCGCGGAAGAAAGCTTTTTGCGCGATTCCCTCCACGTGTTTCTTTATTTTCGACGGAGAATCGATTCCCTGGCGGAGACTCACAAGAAAACACGCCTCAAAAAAGGGAAACCCCGTTAGAACGCAATTTAAATTAACGCCCGATCTGCCTGGCCGGACGCAGCCGGCGTCATTCGCGGAAAGCAGCAGCGGTGCGTGTAGCCGTTGGTTTCCATCGGACGAAGCAGTTTTTAGCAGATGATACCTTTACTCTTGAAACATACTTACTTAAAACTTTTATACACAAATGAAGGTGTCAGCGTGCTTTTACTCTCGAGTCCAGAAACCAAGCGCGTATCCTAACAATATAATAGGGGCTGGCTGCCGGGGCGGGCTGGTGTGTCTGGCCGGCTGGCGGTGAGGCGCAGCCTGCGCGGAATTCGACAATGCCTCCGCGGTACAGCGCCAGCGGCACCGGGCGTAAACAATGGCACCCTCTCCTCACATTGACAATCCCTCCCCGCCTGGCACGCGCAACAATGCCTCTCGATTCGGCCCGGCCTGGGGCGCTCGGGCTCGGCGGGGGGCGGTGCAAGCCACAGCTCGGCACGGCCAGTACCCAAGTACCTACACCGGCCAGCTCGCTCGGGTCTATGTATTTTGTTTCATACACAATTTTAAATACTATCTTTGGAATGAGCCCGCATACTACCCCGTAAGAAAACCAAACGAGTATCATCTGCTTTCATTAACGTTCGTTGAATGAGATTTTTTTCGCCATTCTTATTTTGGCGGGGCTCTTTTTCCCCAAATGGATTGGTGACTTGACTGTCGCGTGAATACAGTCCGCCCCGCGCGTCGCCGCGTCGACTTGTCGCAGTCACTTTTCAAAGTTATAATTTCTCCCGCGCGATCTCTCCCCCCCTTTCTCCCCTGGCCATCCGTCCTATCGAGGTGGACTTTGAAAACAGCTCCAATGATATAATGTACCGAACCGGATATAAGTCTGCCAAAAAGCAGCGTTCTCTCTTTATTTTCTTATTCCGTGCCCGTGCCACTCCATGCGTCTCTCTCTCTCTCTCTCTCTCTCTCTCTCTCTCTCTCTCTCTCTCTCTCACTCATCATGCCACTGGGTCGCTGAGCTACCGCCACTGGACTGGGCCGGCTGGGACCGGGGCCCGGGCCACCCCAACAGACTCACCTGAGGTGTCAGGAAGGCTTCACTTGGGTTGATTTACAGTGGAAACCTCCCGCGACACTGCTAACCTAGGGGCGAAGTCCGCCTCTTCACCTTCTTCAAGAGAGCCTTGCTCCCCCCTTCTCTCCCTCCCCCTTTCCCTCCCCTCCCCCTCTCCCCCTCCCCGTTTCTCCTGCTCGGTTTGGCTCATTCAATCCATCGTCCGGCCTGCCTGCACGGCCTGCCTGCATGCATGCCCGCAGCGCCCCGGCCGGGCTTTGGGCCCTTTGGGCGCCGAGCGCGATATTCCGAAGAGTCGCTCCGTCGCTCCGTCTCTGTCGCACTCATGGGGCGTCTCGTCAGGGTGTTAGAGAGACGGAGCGACGAGTAGGCCACTCTCGGGAATGGATCGGCCGGCTTTGGCCGGACACGCGCTGGTTGGCGGGGACGCGGCCGCGGCCTCGGCGGGTGGACGCGACGCGACGCGACTCAGAGAGCACGCCTTCTTTGTGGACCCGCACAAGGCAGGCCTCGAGGCAGGCACAGGCCGCGGGGGCGCGGCGAAGGTGAAGGCAGCGGGGCACTCCAAAAAGCCTGTCCGAGCTCACACTGCAACAATGCCGCCACTCCACTGTAACAGTGAACGGTCTACAGTGGAGCAAGACCGGTGGAGGCGAGGCGGCCAGAATTCTAGACGCGTTTTGATGTCCAGACTCGAACCGAACGCGTGATCCCACCAATGAATGGCTCTCCGAACGAGGCATCCATTGGTAGGGTCTCACGTTACATTGGTCGAAGGAAAGGTGCGAGCATTGTACACACCCTGGATCATAGGCACTGAGCTCAACAGGACTCTAGGTGCGTTGAATGCAAACACCGCCCTTGGCCGAGGCCATGCCTACCGAGGCCTTAAAGGGTGTTTACATTCTACGCACCTTGAGTCCTGTTGAGCTCAGTGCCTATGATCCAGGGTGTGTACAATGCACGCACCTTTCCTTCGACCAATGGTGCTCACATGCTAACTTCTATCTGCAAAAGGTGCTCAATGGGGTATACGCCTTTGGCGTGTAGAATCAAGGCGCCTTAAGGCAGTTCCATTTCTGTGGCATACGCCTAAGGCGTATAGTTTCTAGACACCCTGGATTTGGAGTGTATGGAGGCGATCGAAATCCCGAACGGGTTTTGAGCCCCAGAGTCGCTAACTGGGACTCGAACCGAGCGTGTGACCCCACCAATGGATTCCTCGTTTGGAGAGCAATCCATTGGCAAGGTCACACGTTCAGTTCGAGTCCCATTAGCGACTCTGGAGCTCAAAACGCGTCCGGTATTTTGACCGCCCGGTCAGCTTCTGGCCCACTGAGGGGCGGCGTGGCGGCCAGGGCGGCCAGACGCCAGACAATCGGGGACCGTAACTCGTCGCCCAGTATCGGCAGTATCGGGTGGCGGTGGCTCCACCACGGCGGCGAGGCACGGTGCACAGTGGCGGCACAAAGGGCCGTCCCGGCGGCCCGGCCTCGGACCCGGCCAAGGGGTCGGCTCGCCGTGCTGGCGGCGCTCACCTTGTCTCTTGTCCCTCTTGTCCCCGGTCTGCGGGCCGGCTAATTTATACCCGACCGGTCTTTAGTATGTATCTGGAAGCTGGGAGGGCTGGAGGGGCGGCGGCCAGTGGCATCAGGTGAGGCTCTCCGTCCTCCGTCCTTCGTCCTCCGCGGCCGCGGTAAATAACTGGGCAGGTCCCGCCGCCTCCGCCCCCGCCGCCTCCGCCGCCTCCGCCCCCGCCGCCTCCGCCCGCCGCCGCCCCCCGCCTCCCCCCCGCCGCCTCCGCCCCCGCCGCCCCCGCCGCCCCCGCCGCCTCCGCCCCCGCCGCCTCCCGGAGCGGCACTGCATCGGCGCTCAGCAGCGCAGCAGGGCAGCGCCAAGCCCGCGGAGGGGAGGGGAGGGGTGAGGAAGGGGGCGGCTATAAATCCCGTGAGGAATTAGCCAGAGATTTGCGCCGCCGTTGCGCCTTAGCTCATAAAACGGGTCGGGGCCGGCCTTAAATTATCAGCGCGTTGTTGCCGCCCTGGCTGCTTCGCTGCTTCGCTGCTTCGCTGCTGCCTCGCTCCCCTGGCTGCCTGCCTGGCTGCCTGCCTGGCTGCCTGCCTGGCTGCCTGCCTGGCTGCCTGCCTGGCTGCCTGCCTGGCTGCCTGCCTGGCTGCCCGCCTGACCCCGATGCGACAAAAGGCGACAGAGAGGAGTAGAGAGGGGCAGATAGGGACGCCGCGCCGAGTGCGTTTTACGAGGTTCAGAATGAAGTGGCGTTCCAGGGTTTGGGGTTCCGAGGGTTCCAGGGAGTTCCAGGGAGTTCCAGGGGTTCGTCGTTGAGTCATCCGACCCGTGACGCGTAGCGGGGCCAAGGCAGGGCCAAGGCCAAGCCATTGGAGACTGCGCCGATGGAGCGACAAGTTGGTCACGATGCTTTGAACGGGCAGGGTGCCACAGTGGGCCAGAAGACCGGTGGAGGCGGTCCGAATCTTGGACGCGTTTTGAGCTCCGCCGTCGCTAACCTAGCGTGTGGCCCCACCGATGGATTCCTCGTTCGGACAGCTCCATTGGTGGGGTCACACGTTCCATTCAGCGACTCTGGAGCTCTATCCGGCGCACTGTGAGACGGCTCGCGACACCATCACGCGTGCAGTGCCATTCCATTAGGCCTTGTCATCTGCGAACCGTTTCCACCATGTCAATTATTGGTCCTCGCATCGCACACTACTATGTAAAACCGCTAGAGCCGGCGTGACACTGCGCCGTCCTCTGTCTCCCTCGCACCCGCACGGGACGTCCAGGGACGTCCGTGACGCCGGGCGAGTGCGACAAAGACAGAGACAGCCTAATGAATGTCCGGCGGTCGTCATGCGCCCCGCTGTCATGGAGAGGGGGCTAGGGGGCGGACCTGGCCGAAGTGGACTATCTGTATCTGTCCACATGATGGGCGCTGTCAGTGGCAGCGGCCGCCTCACCTGTCGCGCCTCCCCCTCCCCCTCCCCTCCCCTCCCCTTCCCCTCCCCTCCCCTCCCCCTCCCCTCCCCTCCCTCCTCGTCTGTCGGGGAGATTCCCGGCCGCCCCTCCGGAAATCCGCCACGTCCATGGCGAGACGGATAGCCCCACTGTCCGTCCCGTCCGTCCCGGCCCGGCGTGCCGGCGCGGCG